TTCCCTGCTGCTTTGCTTTCATCTTTTGCCCTGTCCTTCAAGGAAAAAGTTGTGACAAAGGCCGGTCTTTCCTGTCTGAAGCACCTGAGTCTCCAGCTACATTGTCTTACAGGAATATCATTCAAAGTAAGTCTGAAAGTTGCTGTGCAAATGAATCCTCTCATTTCTGAGTACTTCTGTGATACGTAAAGGTGCCAAACAGAGTTACATTATTCTGCCACAAATAATAAAAACAGTAGATGTGCATAGCAATTATGAAAGTAACAGATGTAAATACTATGTTCATTTCTGGGCATCAGTTATGACAGGCTTTTAAAGCAACAACAAAGTTGTGTTTAATAACTGGTTTCAATGTTTGGTTTTAGTCATTAGTTTTCAGAAAAGACGTGTGTGTACTTGCTCTCCCAGAAAAGCTCCAAGATTCTCAAGCAGGCCTGTTGAGGGCTGCTCACCATAGCTGAGTGTGATACAGCTGGCTGATTTCCACTTCTAATTGTAATTGCACCAAAAACCCTTACAAAAACTACCTAAAGAGCCAGTGATGTGCAGTTTAAAACTGTAAACAGCTGGGAAATTCCTAAAGCCATTTTCACTGTGATAAATGCCCAACTTGTGATATTTGTAGCAATAGGGGCAGAGTGATGCAGCACCAACTAACTCCTGATGGGCAACTGAAATATTTATATTCCTTTTTTCCCTGTCTTTGCAGGAATTCAGGAATACTGTGATCAACACCATTTTCATGAAGAAAAGATTATCTAATCTATGAATGGAATAAAAATGTAGCTCATGTTTAATTATAGAAGAGTAACTTATGCCTTGATTTAATAGAAAGAATGTATTCTTTTTGTATATTGCAAATAAATTCTTAATATAAATGTTTTTGCCTTATTTTTTTTTCCTTAGTTCGTCATTCTTGTAGTTCACAGGTGGTATCAAAGCATGCTAGAAAGCCATAAAACTGAGTCTTCATCTGTGTGACGTAGGCGCAATCTGCATCCGCTGCTATGGTACTGATAACTTGCATATGAAGTTGGTGTTTGCAGACGTGTATACAAGATTTTATTTAGAAAGTTGAATATAAAATATGCTTTGATGACACTGGGACGCTGTGTCTGATGTGTCTGCTGCACACACAGGGTAGGCTTTGGTCTGCCTTCTGCACTAGGAGGAATTGTCATGCCCACGCTCTCTTACTGAATAACATAATTTCAGCATCTTTCCTTTTGGTGGAAAAGGAGTAAAATTCAGTGTTGTATTGTCTCCTGATTTTAAGACTGATGCCAATTATAAAAAAAAAAAAACAAACCAAAAACTAGTAGAGTTTAGGCAAGTTAATTATAGCACAAATACAGTATTTTTGTTATTACAGTCATCAGCATAAGATTAACATTTTAACTGTTTATACGTAACTGACTGCTCCACACAAGTACTGTGTGAAACTGCTGCAGGACTTTTGTACTTTCTTCTACTCGGAGTTTAGGCAAGTTAATTATAGCACAAGTACAGTATTTTTTTTATTACAGTCATCAGCATAAACATCACATCAGCATGTGTGAAACTGCTGCAGGATTTTTGTACTTTCTTATACTCAACCCTGAGCCTGAACACTTGAAAAATAAATATTTGGTATCTTTAAGAGGCTTTTTGTGATTGTAATTCATGTTTCTTTATTGAGGAATCAAAGCTTTGAGAAATCAGTATTGTGTACAGGAAGGAAAGGCAGTTTGACTTTGTTTATTGTAGCTCAAAAATTAAACAAATGTTTAAAACACATTCAAATTCTTGGTCAAGATAATCCGACCGTTTCAGGCTAGTTGACAGATTATTTTTTTTCCCTTAATGACTTACGCTGTGTATAAACCGTAAGCATTGGGTTTGTGCCTATACAAACTGCTTTTCGGTGAAACTTAAGTAATGAAGACTGGAAACTTTTCAGACTCTGAAGTCTCAAAACACAAATGACATAAAATCATTACTATTTTGTACAGGTGTAATTCTAGAAGAGCTTTACTAAAATACCTTCTTCTGAAGAACAGCTTTCATAAATGAGTATTTTTACTGCTCATCCTTTTTGTTGTTCCTTATTTATCTCGTGCCTGTCTTCCCATGTTCTTCAGTGTGCTCTTCTGACATTCTCCTTGTCTGTCCTGTGGAATGAGCAGAGGAAGCGTGGGTGTCAGCATCACCTCCTATGTAGGAGTCTTTTTAATAAAAGGCAGGGCAGAGGCAGGTGGAAGCTCAAGGGCTGAAGATCGCTCTCCCAGCCATGCCCAGGCAGAGGCATTGTAACCCCTCTGAGGATTTAACTTGGGTGACATTCTTCACGGGACTTGGAAGTGGCTCAGTTGCAAAGCTTCTGCAGGCTTCTGGACACAGAGCAAAGGAACTTGGGGTACAGCCCCTCCAAGGCTTATTGGAGAATGAAGGTAGACCTGCCAGGAGTTATTTTAGGAACTGAGACCTGGGAAGAGCCAAAACCAACAGCATGGGGCAGGTCAGCATGCGATGCTTCAGGGGCTGTAGCTGACAGAGCGACTCCATACTTACTCTTGGGAACATCTGCTGTGACAAAAAACCATGAAGTTGCTCTGTTGATGCTTTTTTGTCCCCCTAACTTGCAGTGGATGTAGCCATATAAATTAGCGGTCTGAAGGGAGATCCCAGCTATCACAAGAGCCTGTGGACAAACAACAGTTCAGCTGGGATAAACACACTGCCATATATAGACTGTATGTGTAGAATATATATGCACACATATGTATACATACTATTTAGATATACACACATGCTAGAAGAGGGGCATAGTCCTTCCAGTAATAAATGACCTTCAAAGACATCCAATCCTGTCAAACTTAAACACAATAGTTCCTTTCTACAAAATGCTTCTTTATCAACATGGCGATAAAAATTTTTTTGTTATTCTGTATCTTGAAAGACTTCATTAGTTTCCTAAAAGTGCCTATTCAAAAAAGGACCTGTTCAACTGATTCCATCATCATTTCACTTTTTTAGGCCTGATTTGTATCTGAAAGTTTCACATCCAGATACGTAGCAAGACTGCAGGCTCGGTTAGCTGACAAATGCCTTATTACATCCAAATAACATCCCATAACTTACAGATTTACAAACAGCATCGATAGATACAAATCAATATCTAGCATTAACAGGCAGTGAAAATAATTAGATCTTTTTGTGGTGCTGTAGGCTTAGCAGCAGGCAG